GAAATGAGCCACAGATAAAGGCACACAATGTGGCTGGGGCTGTTGTTTAGTTCCCCAGCCAAGCCAGGCCAGAGCAGAGCCTGCTCTCTGTCGAGGGCCTCTCCAGTGAGGGTGGGACAGGCTAAAAATACCCTAGAGAAAATGAAATATGGGTGATATGGGGCAGTATCACTGCCATCGGCCTCTGGAGGAAATGAGGAGGGAGACACCCAGCTATGCTGCCCTTGGGCTGGTGGCCAAGCCCACCCTTGGCTTCCTCCCTGCTGGGGAGAAGGGGGGGTGAAACCCCCTGGGGTGGGGGTTTGGGCACACCACCAGCTCCCAGCTCTTCCCTGTGCCCTCCTGGAGGATGCTGGGGTGGTTCTGCTGTGGAAAGACCCTGCCCTGCTCCCACTTTGCTCAGCTGAGACCTCCCAGGTTTGGGACCAGTTGGGACCCCAGCACAATGGAGGGGCCACATCCCAGTGGTCCCCAGGTATCAGCAGAGCCCTGCAGCGCTGGGAGGAGCAGCCCAGTGTGCTGGGCCAGAAAGAAATGCCCTAGTGAAAGGGAATGGAGCAGCCCCACCATGTTTACCCACCACAGTGTCCCCGGGTCACCTCCCCTCTCCTGCACTCCTATTTTTGTTGGCACCGGAGGAGCGTCACACTTTTCCAAGCGACCCTGCAAGGTGGAAAACAAGACAGCCAAGACCCCCCCCTTGCCTGGATACAGTGCCCAGGCTCTGCACAAACACAACTCTGTGTCCCACTATTGTTCCCGTGTTGTGACAAAGTGGCTCGGGGCAGTTGCAGTGACCCCACGCCGCCGGGACCTGCTGCCAACAACAACAGCGAGGGGCTTACCTGCAGGCCAGGCTGGGGAGGGGGCAGCAGCAGGGCTGGGGTTGGCAGCAGCCCCCCAGAAGGTGGGAGGGCAGCCCTTAGGCAAATAAAAGTTTGGAGCTGATAAGAGCCCAGGCTGGCTCAGCAGAGCCCTTTGGCACAGCCCCGGGACAGATAGTGGCCAGACAGGCCTTTCTCACACCTCCACTCTCCCTCTGAATAAACAGGTCCCTGCAGGACAGGCCTTTCTCACACCTCCACTCTCCCTCCTGAGTAAACAGATTCCTCCAGTCCTTTGTGGGAACAGCACTCACTCCCCCAACAGCCGGCCCTGATGATGATGCTGAGCCCCATGCTGGCACAGGCAGCTGGGGGCTGCAGTCAGGGGCTCCCAGGGGCTCTGGGACCCCCAGAGTTAGGAAACACTTTATGGCAGCTCTGCCAGTCCTAGAGGGACCCTACACTCTCCAATACCTGCTGGGGGTGTTGGTTTAACACCAGTCACAGTCCCCAGGAGCCCTGGGGCTCCTCTGCAGGGAGGTTTCTGTCTCCTTCCAGTTAGGACCAGTCTGTGCTGGGCACCCTGCTCAGCTCTGCCATGGCCTGGGACAGAGGGCTGTCCTCCCTGAAAGGCTCTGCCTGAAGTGCTGGCCAAGCACCAAGATTATTTTTAAGCTTTCCCAGCATACAGCAAAGTGTCTAAATCTGACCCACTCAGGAAGAGCCGAGGTGGGAGCAGAATCACAGCTGAGGGGGAAGAAAGGCAGAGAGCTGGGCAGGAGGGTGCCAGGCAGGGCCACACTTGCCCACAGGGCCCTGTCAATGCCCAGGTGTGTCCCTGGGGGGAGTGGGAGCAGTCAGGAGCATCCTCCTGGGCCAGGCACAGAGCCCTAACCCCAGCACTCTGTGCCCACAGCACCCACCACTGGGGCAACCCCAAACCAGGAATAATCCTGCCCTTTCCAGCCACTGCCACTGGTGCATAGTGAAGGAAAAGCAAACCCCACGGAGCTCCCTTCCTCCCCAGGGTTATATTTAGCCTTCCACTAGGGTCCCTCCATGCACAGGCATGGCAGACAATGTGGCCCCGTGTGAGAACTGCAGGAGGGAGGAAACACACTCAATAGCTGCATCCTGACATTGTCGCTCTCCCCCGGCCATTTCCTCATGTGGAGGCACCAGGACTGCGGTGCCCAGCACTCTGTGCCCATCCTGGCATGGCTCCTAACCCTGCCAGCAGCTCAGGGCATTATCCTATTGCCACACCGGGCCAGCAGAGGCTGCTGCCTCCACAACAAGGGGCTTTTTGTAGCATGAGAAGATCCATGTGGCCTAAAAACAAGGACCCACAGTAGTCCTGGAGTGCTGGGGATAGGGAATCAACCCTGAGCTGTACCTGTGGGAAAAGCCAGTGCTGAATGGAAACATGTTCCACTGTAGCTGTCCCCAGCTATGGCTTGAGGGATGTGACTTGGTGTAGGGCAGAGCTGCTCCTCTCCCACGGCACTTCAGGGCTTTTTCTGGCCACAGAAGGAACCCCCAGACATAGCATGGAGGGAGCCATAGCAGGAAGCGAGACGTGGAGGCTGGGAAAGACTTGGCTGCTCTCAGGAAAAGGGCAAAAGCAGAGCCTGGGAAAAGCCTCTGCTGGGAGGGAGTGGAATTCTCCAGAGGCTGAGGGGATGTTCTGTTTGCTCTCCAGTGCAGCAGGGTGAGCACCCATCATGTCCCAGGGCTGTGGGGACACCGTGCTGTGGGAATCTCCCAGTGTCCCAGGGTCACCCCACTGTGGGCAGGTCCAGGGTGTCCTGGGGTCACTGCACTGCGCCAGGACAGGACACCAGAGTGTGAGTCCCTGCAGGCCAGCTCCCACCCTGCTCCTCTCCTCCCAAAGCATCATCACCCCAGGCCTTGCAGGAAGGGCCCAGATGGCCTTGGGCCATCCCTGTGCCAGCACAGGGTCACCTCATCCCCAGCCCTGCACAGCTGGAGCATCCCTGCTCTGATCTAACCGGACATCCACGGCAGCCATCCAGGTGTGCCGGATGGCCGGGGGGATCTCACTGTCCCCCCTCCCCACAGCAGCTGTCCCAGTCCCCTGAGCTGCCCCAGTGAGCTGGGGCACAGCTCCCTCCCAGCATCCTGCCTGCAGAAATCACCACCTGCTCCTCTCATGAGCTGCTCACAATGGATCCCGGGAGCAAAGCAGGACCTGGGCAGGACAGAGGGTCCATCGGGAAGCTGCAGCTGCTCTCAGGCCATGCCAAGAGCACTGCAGTCAGCCTGACCCCACAGGCTGGGCTAGGACCGGGAGTACTCGTGGTAGCTGGATACAATCCCTGATCCATGGCAGTCACAGCCAGCCTCGGATGCAGGGACATCCCTGAAGCCGGACAAGCCTTGGAGGATGCTCTCACACCCAACACTGGCCTCCTGGCCAGGCGTGGGACTCTTTGCCCAGGGACAGGCTCGCTGCAGGCAGGGCTTCCACAGCAGCACCCAGCTGTGCCGTGCTGGGAACAGCTGGATCACAAACACCCTGAAGCAGACCAAGCATTTCCATGTGAATGGCTGAGTGCAGGCTCGGGAGGGCAGGGTTTTACCATAATGGTTTATTCAGCAAAGCTTCCTCTCGCTCTTCATGAGCACCGTGGCTGCTCGCCCCAGCCCTGAGAGCTGCCCGCTCCTATTCTTGTCCCGCCGGCACTTCCCAAGCGGCACATTGTTGGGATTCAATGGGAGGAAGGGTGGGTTTACAGCACTGAAGGCTTAGGAGAAAGGCGGCAGGTCTGGGAAGCGGCTTCACCCCTGTCCCAGTGCCGGCGGGAATCCACAGACCTGCAGCAATGCCGGCAGACGGACGGGAGTCCCCAGACACACGGAAAACAGCTGAAAGTGCCACAGGCAGGGGATGGGAGCCACCAGCCAGGTGCCATCAATGCCCAAGCTGTCACCATCAGGGCTCATCCTTCCCCAGGGCATCACTGCAGAACTGTGCTGGAGCAGCCTCCCGGACACTGCATGGGCCCAGGGCAGGAAATGGGGCAGCAAGGCCCCCCCAAAGCTCGATTGTGCCCAGCCGGCCCTGGGAACGAGGGGATCAATGGGCTATAAACAGCCGGGGGAGCCACTCCGGCGCGGGGTGAACAAAGGCATTTCAGAGACAGTTTCCGAGCTGGTCCCAGCTGGGAGAAGGAACGGGACTATTCCCACCCGAGCACACAATAGGGAACAGCCGTCACCCCACAGCCTGGCTGGGAAAGCAGGAGACAAAGGGGAAGGGGCTACTTCAGGGCACAGTGCCAGCCTGTCAGGGGGACAACATGGTGGGCACTGTGAGCCCAAGTGCAGGAGGTGGCAGTGGGACAGAGCTGGGACAGGCTCTAAATCACACTCAGCCTCCTCCTGCACCTTCTCCCGGGGCTCAGCTGCCCTCGCAGCAAAGGTCAGAGTGTTCCCGGTGGTGGCGGGCCATGAGCCCAGCTGAGGGGAACAGTCCAGGCCAGGACAGCAGCTCGGGAGGCAAACAGAGCCGGGAGCACGGCAGTAAAGCTGTCAGCGGGGCAGGAATGGCCCTGGCCGGGGCGCAGGACGGCACGGTGTGAATGCTGACTGGCTGCTGACCTCGGCACTCACACCGGGCACGGCAGATTTATCGTCCCCGGGACGGGAAGGCTGGGCCGGGGCAGAGCTGGGGCCTTGCTCAGGCACCACGGGAAAAAACAAGCCGGGAGGCAGCGATAACCCCGGCCCTGCTCAGGCAGCTCTGGCTGGGGTTTGTCCCTGCTGTGCCAGCAATGCCTGAGCCTGGAGGGGACACCGGCCACTGGGCCCCAGTGCCTGCCGCCAGCCTCTCCCTGCTCAGCACCCCAGTGGGACCCCATCCCCTGGGATCCCACCCTGTGTTGTCACAGCCCTTCTCCTCGAGATAAAGAGGTCAAAGGGAAGCAGATGACGCAGCTGGGGGAGCTGGGAGGGAGGCACAGCCACAGCACAGGCTGGGAATTTGGTGCCTCCTCCTCCTTCCTGCTCACCACCCGGCTGCCAGGCCTGGAGGTCAGTGCCCGGCCAGGGACAGCAATGGCATTTGTAGCAGTTGCTTCTTGAACAGGCAGGGAGCAGAGACATGCTGTGAGACAGGGCTGGGGCTGTGCTGATGCAGAAGACACAGAGGCCTAAGGACTGACAGAAGTTTATTGTGCAGAGGGCAGAGATCTCCCCATTCCTGACACATCGCCACACTCAGAGCACCACAGCAGAGCAGGACTAAGACTTCCACCTCCCCTTGTCACCGCTCCTGGGAGGGATGAAGCAGGGAGGGGGTCCTCAAAGAGCTCCATAGCAGCTGGACTAACATTGTGGCGTGGGGCTGTATTGGGGTTCATCAAGAGCCATGGGGGATCTGGAAGCAGGGCAGCAGTTCTTCCTGTCACTGGCAGTCAGCCTGACCCCATCCCATGGCACTCAGGTCCAAACTTCTTCTACCTTCACACCATGGAAGAAATCAAACCTGAGGAGACACAGATGGAACCAGGCTGACGCTGTTCTGTGGTCCAGGAGCCAGGCCTGGCGAGAGCTGAGGAGTTCCAGACTCGCTCCACCTCCACACACGGCTCCCTGCCCGCTCTGCCACCGAGCTCTGAGTACCTTGAGCAAATCCATGGGGTGGGCAAACCTGACCCTGCGGAGGGCCCGGGAGGGTGAGGAGCAGCAGGTGCAGGAGGGAGGCTGGTGGAAGCAGTGCAGTGTCAGAGGAGTCCCCAGTAGCCGCTCCGGGACACCGCCTTTGCCCAATTCACCCTTTATTAACTTTTTTCGGGGCGGTTCCTGTTGAGCACGGCCCGAGGGGCGAACTCCAGCTTGTCCTTCAGGCTCACCACCTTGGTCAGGTCCTCGCCCACGATCTCCTGCAGCTTGCGGTCCTCTCGCTGCTCCGAGATGCTCTTCTCCTCCTGGGCCGTGGCCGGGGGGTCTCCGCGCAGGAACCACTCCAGCTGGGAGCCCACCAGCCCCACCACGAAGGCCACCGGGAAGGTGACGTACGGGGCCTTGGAGCGCACGGCCGCCCACAGCACGGACCACATGCCTGCCGAGGGCGGGACGCGGCTGTCACCGGGGAACGGGGACCCGCGTGGGCCGCGCCGGGACCCCCGCCCGGGTCCGCAGGGACCCCTGCCCGGCCCCGGCCCAGCCCCGGCCCAGCCCCGGTCCCGGCCCGGCCCGGCCCCAGCCCCGCTCACCCGGGCCCGGCCCCGCCCGTTCCGGTCACGGCCGTGAGGGCCCGGCGGGGCGGCGCTGCCCCCTGGCGGACAGAGCGGGAACTGCAGCGCTGGAGGAGCGACACCGGCTGGGGACTCGGGGGGACACGGAGGGGACAGGGGGGGAACACGGGGGAGGAACACGGGGGGGACACGGAGGGACATGGTGGGGGAACACGGGGGGGAATTATAGGGGATATGGAGGGGACACGGAGGGACACGGGGGGGAACATGGGGGGTGAACGAGGGGGAATCATGGGGGACACGGGAGGGGACACCGGCTGGAGACACGGGGGGACACGGGGTGGAATCATGGGGGACACGGGGGGCACGAGAGGGAATCGCTGGGAGGGACACGAGGGAGACTCATTGGGGGGGATAACATGGGGGAGTCATGGGGGACACGGGGAGACACGAGGGGAAATAATTTTGGAGACACTGGAGGGGGAAAGATTGGGGGACACGGAGGGGCACGAGGAGGAGTGATGGGGGACATGTGGGGGGATCCCGAGGGGGAGTCATTGGGGAGACGGGGGGAGATGCACGGGGAGCATGGAGGGGAGTCCTGCGGGGGACAAGGGGGTGTCACGGGGGGAGCCACGGGGAGACACCCACAGGGCGAGACCCCTAGGGAGAGTCGGGGTGTCACCCACCGGGAGACACAGGGAGAGTCACAGGAGGGGTCCCAGGGGAGAACCCAGGGACGATTCAGGGAGAGACACGCACCACTCAGAGGGGGTGTCTTGGCAGGGAGAACCAGGGGAGACGTCATGCGGGAGTCACGAGGAGTGTCACAGAGAGACACCCACGAGGGTGTCAGAGCGAGTGTCACGGTGGGAGACTCATGTGAGGAGTCACAGGGGGAGTCACGGGGAGAGATCCACAGAGAGACACCCACAGGAGGAGATCCATGGGGAGACAGAGGCAGAGACCCCACTGGAAGAGACCCGTGGGAGATCTCCATGGGGAGACCTCCCAAAGCCCCTCTCCCACCCCACGGTCACCAATTTCCCACACCACAGACATGCATTTCCCACCCCACCGACACAAAAGGATGGGAGACAGGTGAAAGGCGAGCCCGGTGCCGGCCATGTCCCCGCAGGGAAGTGGCCGCTGGCCCGGAGTAACCAAAGTCATCTTTATTAATTGCGGCGGTTCGTTACAATAAAAAGGGAGCCACGTGTCACGGTCACTGCACGGCGCTGGCCGGGGCGGGGGCCAGGGGCCCTTCCCAGGCACATCCCTAAATCCGGGGTGCAGGGGGAGTGGGGTGGGGAAGGGCTTTGGGTGGCTGAGTGGGTGCTGCCGTCACGGAGGTGTTTAGCACCGACGGACCCCTAGGAGCGTCAGAGGCGTCCCCCAGCTGCCTCTGACCCCACCGCCCTGCCTGAGGGCCTGGGCGAGGTTTGGCCCCAGATTTCGGGAGCTACCTGGCACCCACTGGCCCTGCCCTGGGGGGTGGCTGGTGATGCTGCGTGGGGCTGCTGGCGTGGCAGAGTGAGGGACGGGGATGGGGTCATCCCCGCTGTGCCACCAAAAGGGACACTGAGGGGGGCAGGATGCTTGGAGAACGGGATTAAGGACAGGGATGAGGCAGATGCAGCCTCCTGCCCCTCCACACTGCTCTGCCCTGGAGGGGACTCTCCACCCTGATCCTGGCTCTGTGCACAGTGATGGGGGAGCTGGCAACAGCCACATCCCAGGGTGTCCCTTGGCCCTGAGAGGCGTCAGGTACTGACAGCCCTATCCTGGGGTGTCCCATCCCGCAGGGCTCCGGGAGCTCAGGGGAAGGGGTGACCCCCTGAGGGGGTCTCTAGCTCCACACTCAAGGGGCAGCTGCTGGCCATGTCCACACTCCCATCCCACCCACTGGTGCCAAGCCCAGGTGTGGTCCTTGTCACTGCAGGTGGGAACAGGCTCACTGGGGAAGCATCTCCCACCTGCAGCAAGGCACGGGGGCGACTATTGCCTGTCCCTGGCTAGTGCCACATTGCAGAGGTGCTCCAGGACTCCAGGCTGGCAGGAGGGAAGGACGGACAGATGAGGGATGGACTGAGGGGAAGGAGGGCTGAGAGGGAAGGGGAGAAGCGCGTGGCGATGCTCCGTGCGAGGGAAGCGGGGCGGCTCGCCGTGACCGGAGGCTTCTGCTGCTCTGGCCCGTCCCACCAGGCAGGACACAGCGCTGGTCACGTGTAGTTTCTGGTTTATTCCTTGGGTTATATTTATATATGTATATAGGGGAGGGAGCCCTGGGTCCCCGCGGCACCTGAGCCGCAGGTGGGGAGAGCAGCGAGGGGACTCCTTTGTCCCCACCACGTCCCAAAGCCTCGTGCCGGCAGGGCAGGGCTGGGGGGCTGTGGCTGGGCTGGGGCTGGGGGCCCGTCCCCGCCACACACCAGGGGATTGCACTGAGTACAGAGAGGCGGGGGGGCCTGCCTGCAGCCCCCTCCCCTCCAGCCCGGCGGGGCCGGCTGCTGAAGGTCACCTCTCTTTGGGTTGGGTTGCAGGGACAGGTGTGCAGAAGGGCTAGGGAGTGGGAAAGGGACAGAAAGCTGGGACACAGCCCCAGGGAGGGCAGAGGGAGGGAGAGCCCCGGACCCCAGGAGAGGCTGGCAGGGGCATGCGGGCTGGGGAGGGGGGCAAGGGAACGGGGCAGAACCGGGCTTTGCGTTCACCCGCCGTCGGATCCACGAAAGGGCGAAGATAGAAAAGAGAGAAGCTGTGAGTGGGGTCAAGAGCTGCCCCAGGGTGTCCCCGCGGCCCCCCATCACAGTGAGCTACGGCCGCGCCGTCCAGTCCGGGTAGAAAAGCGGAGGCTGCGGTCACAGCCGGGTCTGCGCCTCGGGGATGTAGATCTCGATGCTGTCCGCGCTCTCAGTAGCCGAGCTCTGGCGGAAGGAGGCGGCTCGCTTGGCTGCCAGGAGCCGCTTGCGGGCCTCCTGCCGCTGCCGGTCCACCGAGTCCAGGGAGCGCTCCTTCACCGGGTGCACCTTGGAGCGCGGCGGCTTCTTTGGTATCGGGGGAGGCACCTTCTTTTCCTCCTGAACACACAACAGAGGTTTCAGGCTGGGACCTCCCGGGAATGGGCATCCCAGCGGGCTTGCCACAGCCTCTGCTGTGGGCGCTGAAGCCAAAGCCATGGTGAGAGGCTCCACAGATCGACCCTCCCACAGGTTGCAAGGCAGGGCTGCACATCCCGGTATCCATCCCGTGACAGGACCCTGCCCGGCCCTTTGCAGGCAGCTGGGATACATCAGTGGGAGAACAGCCCTTCTCTAGGCTCACTTTTTCACACCTCTGTTTTTCAAGGGTTTGCTAAAAGCAGTCACCAGTGAGAGCCCAGCAGTGGCTTGGGTGCAGATGTGCTTGGGGATGAGGAGGGAGGGAGAGATGACAGGTTCAAGTGCCAGTGGCAGAGCCCTGCCTTTACCTTGGGCTCCATGATCTTCCACCCATTGGCCTTGAGCTGCTGGAGCTCCCCAAACTTCATGCTGACATCCTCAATGGAGAGCTGCAGGAGGTCCCAGAAGCCAGCCAGGTCTTGGAAAGTGGGCACAGGGAATGCGTTGGGATCCTGTGGGGGACAGAGGGACAGTGTCATCCTCGTTCATCAGTGGGACATTGGCTCTGCTGGCCATGGGGCCACCCCACCCCCCTGTGCTGGTGGCTCTATGTCCAGCTCTCCTCCACGGTGGTCCATAGTCACTGGCTGAGAGTATGAGACACTCCCCCTCCCCACCACAGCTGTCCCCCGGCACGGCTGCCCACACTCACCATGTTCTGCTGGCAGAGGCGGTAGAACTGCTGCACCTTCTGGGACATGAGGAGCTGGGCACTGCCCACCGCGCTCCGGATCTTCTCCAGGACTGGGGGGAAGAGCAGACAGTCAGCAGCAGCTCAGAGCCCTCCAACACATCGTGTCTCTTCTCTCTTTCATATCCCTCTAGCCCTAGAGGGCTTCCCGGTGTTTCTTGCCCTCACTTAACCTCTTCAGCTTTGGCAGCGAAGATGCTCCAAGGTGGGAGCACTGCAGGACAATGACTGTGCCCCCCACTCTGCAGGATCCCCAGCCCCTCTCTTCGCTGCCACACCCCACCCGACTCACTCTCCTCGGGCAGGTCATAGTCTTCCGCCTCCCTCTCCATCTGCTGGCACCAGCCCTCCATCTTCTCCACCTCTGCCTGCAGCAGTTTGATGAACCACTCCCCGTCGCGGTGGCAGGGGGAGGCGCGGCCGGAGTCAGGGAGGCTGCGGGAGCCCCTCTCGATCCAGGCATCCCGCCGGGGCACCTCCACCGTGTCGTACTGCAGCTGGTAATCCTCGCGGTACGCCCACTGCCCCTGCGTGTGCACCGTCTTGTACACGGCGTACTGCCGGCCCGACTCGGGCTCCGAGGAGTGCCGCTGGAAGGGCCTCCCGAACTGCAGGGCTTTGTCCTCGGTGGCCACGGCCAGGCCGGTGAAGCCCTCGAGCTCCAGGTCCGCCTGCACGCCCGCTGTCACGCTGTTGGAGCGCTTGAAGCGCGCTCGCCTGCGGAGACAGGGAGAGCTGGGGACGCTGGCGGCCAGCAGGGATTGTCCTGTCCCCCCGCCAGGTACCGCAGTGGCAGGGCCAGGGTGAGGGATGCCCACAGGTAAGATGGGGCTGGGGATGCCGGGGTGGATCCCGGAGCATTCAGGGCCACAAGGATAACCCTGAGCAGCTGCGATCTGCCAGTCCCTCATCTCCTCTGCTCTCAGCCTGTTTCCATGGCTACCAGCACTGGACCGAGGATGGAGAAGAGCGTGCACCAGGCTGCATGGGCACAATGCCGGAGCTCCCCTCCCGCAGGCCATGCAGGTTCTGGCACACCTGGCATTCCCATCCCAGCCAAAATGTCATAGTTAGCTGCAAAAATGCCCAAGGGTTCATCTGCACCCTGCATGGGCTCAAAACTAAGGGCTGAGCCCAGCAGAGGAGACCCAGCACAGGGCAGGAATAGGGCAGCCCATTCCCTGGGCAACAGCGAGGACAAAGGAAAGGCCAAATCCTGCCCCAGGTGGGGGCAGATAGCCTGGAATGGGGATGGTGCTGAGCTCTGGAGTTTCAGCCAGAGGGGAGAGGGAAAAGATGCTGTGGGTGGAGGTGGTGAAGCCCCTGGGAACCCAATGCCTCACTGTAGTGACTGTGACAAGTCTCAGCCCAGTCCATGTGGTACCTTTTGTCCTCCTCCACCTGCACCCCGATGGAGTGGAACTCCCTCTGGCTCCGGCTCTCCGTATCCGAGTCAGAGACGGCCTCAACCTGCCGAGGGGCAGAGGGAGAGCGCTGGAGGGCAGCCCCAAAAGGCAGCGTGGTGGCTCAGCATGGCCCACACCACTCGAGCAGCCCACAGGGAGGAGCGGAGCCCACCTGGACGCCGATGGAGGGACGCCACTTCCTCTGCCGAGCCAAGCTCCGCAGCTCCTCCCGGCCTGGGATGGCCTTGATGATGAGCGTGGAGGGCTTGGGAGCAGCACGGGGCTGGACTGGGGGCAGGTCGAGGGCCACCGCCGTCACCTTGGAGCTCTCCAGGCTCTCGGCCGAGTTGCAGCGGGCCGCAGCATCTTTGGACCAGGCGGGGCTGCGGGTGACCTCGCTGGGCAGGTAGCTCTCGTGGGTGGACTCGGTGCTGCTCTGCGCCGTGACAGAGATGAGAGGTTTGGCTTTGGTTCCTGGAGGGATGGGAGGTGGAGCTTTTCTGTAACTGAAGGCTGTTGTGGGAGAGGCGCAGGATGAAAAGGCACGTGAAAACACAGACACTTGTTCATTTCCCGCCACGAACAGGGGCCCCGGGGAATGCTGCCCATCTCCTCCCACAGCACGGGGACCATGGGGGACCCCACAGGGTTTGCCCCTAAGCTGGGTTAGATACGGGCTGGAATTCAGAGGGGCTGTTGGACCAGGTTTTGGGATTGGAAAAAAACCCAAACCCACACTGGTCACATTGCTGCAGCACCCAGCAGGGGCAGAGATGGGGACGGAAGTGGAGGGAAGGAGGGGATGGCAAATGGGTGCTGGGGACACAGAACAGCCCCCTGACTGAGACTGGGAGACAAGCAGGATGCTCACACCCTGTCCTGGGTACTATAGGGGTCGAGGGCCAGGAGGAGGGCAGCAGCAGCCCTCGGCAGGTGCCCAGGTGAGCAGGCAGGGAGGTGTGGGGTTCCCTCACCCGGCCAAGCCCTCGTCACCCCCCAGGACTCACAAGTGCTGGGCTTCAGGATGCTGCTGGTGATGGGTGGCCCAGGAGGGGCCGACATGGAGAAGAGTGAGAGACAGTCATCGTCCTGGGAGCAGCCTGCCTGGATGGCCCTCAGGTAGCTGTGGCTCCGCATACGGAAACAGCCGGGCAGGTCCAGAGCCTCCACGGCCTGCGACTCCACCTCGCCAAAAACCGACTCACAAACGGCCTCAAACTGGTGGTTGAGCTCGTCATTGATCTGTGGAGAGCAGTGAGTGAGGCTGAGCCAGGGCAAGGGATGCTCAGAGCAATATCCACCACATCCCTGCCCCAGCCCGTGAAACCTGTGCCATGGAACGTACCTGGCCGGTGGTGAAGGAACGCCCGTAGCTCTGTCCCCGCGGGAGCATTCGTGGTGGCGTGCAGCAGCTGGGACAGTTACAGATATATGAATCAGAATAGTGCCTACTTGCAAACCTAATGAGAGACAGTGGGAATAGAAGGGATCGCACCAAAAGCAACACATTCCAGCAGAGCATTCGGAAATGCAGCCACAGCGATTCTCCCGCCGGCCACTGCTGCTGTCCCCACTCCTCACTGCCCCCAAAACTGTCACCCACTGCGACTGGAGCACATCTCAGTCACCTCCCTTTGAACATGCCTCTTCTCCCCATGGTCTGCATGTGGCTGCAACAGCAGGTCCCCCCAAAAAGCCCAGCATAGCCATGTCCCCCCCAGTGCCCTGACACAGAGCAGGGACAGGGCTAGGTGCTGCTGCGCTGAATAGTGAAGCTGTGAGCAGGGACGATGCTGTGAGTGGGGACAGTGCTGTGAGCAGGGACATGCCACTTGTCCTCCCAGGAAGCCCTGGCTCATGGCCCTGCTGGGACAGGGCTGGGAGGCAGCAGCCCTTACTTGGTCCTGGCCTGGTCGGCGCTGGAGGAGCGGCGGTAGCTGTCTCGCCGCGTGGCCGCCCTGGGCAGCACTTTGGAGCTGATGTCCGAGTCGGCGCTGTCCTCGTCACCCATGGCCTTGATGTAGCTGCCACTGCGCATCCGCCGGCACGGGATCTCCCCGTCCTTGCCCGCCGGGTACCCGCTCCACTCGTCCTGCGGCACCTGGAGCAGGAGGCAAGCGTGGGAGGATGTGGTGGCCAGAGTCTCACAGGTGGGATGCAGAGCCGAGCCACATGCCAGCCCAAGCCCAGCCCAAACCCAGCACGTATGTCCGGCTCCCCTGTCCTCCCCATGCACCCCAGAGCTGCAGGGACAGACCCTCGGGGCTCTGACCCCTTTGGAAAGCCCCAAAATCCAGGAGAGCAGATCCCTCCTGACCGCCACAGCTCCCCATTCCCACAATGCGGGGCGGTGCAGCAGCTCCCACCTCACGGCCCCCCTGGCGGGAGCGTCTGGGCCAAATCCCACCCATGCCAGCGCAGCACCCGCCTGACGTATCGGGCACCAGCCCCGCCACGTGCTGCTGACGCCAGCACCACGGGGTCCTTATAGGCCACTGGCAGGGGGATGGTGTTCCCTGGGGCCCATGGCCAGGGTGGTGGGGCCAGCACCCTGCCCTGATGCCCCTCTGCTGGCGGAGATGGGACCCAGCCACCCCCACCCCTGGCCAGCACAACAGCATTGCTGCTCCCTGTCTCCTTCCCCCAGGAAAGGGAGAGAAGAGTTAATTAGCTTTTAATTGGAAGGGGGGTGACCTAGAAGGGAGCCCAGTGATGAGGCAGGCAGTGGCACACAGCCAGGCACACAGGCAGGATAAAAGCAGTGAGAAGGGAGCAGGCACAGGGCTGCTAGTGGCCCTCAGCTGATAAAGCTGCTCTGACCCCAAATCCAGCAAAGAGCAAGAGGCAGCAGATGAGCTTCGAGGGGACAGCGGGGACCAGCACAGGACCATGGGAATGGAGCACAGGTGCTGGGGACACGGAGCAGAGCTGGAGCATCCCCACAGGCATGGGGTTGCAGCCCTGGCTCGCCCCACAGCACAGTCAGCCCCAGTCCCCTCACCCTGCCCAGCCCCTCACCTGCAGGTACTGGTACGCTCGGTCTTTGGCCTTTGCTTCCTGAAGCATCAAGGTCTTCTCGGAGCCGCCGGCGCTGGGATAGGCTTCACGGGCCTGGCTGACGGTCATGGTGTGCCAGGCACTCCTCTTGAGCGTCTGGCCATCCAGAGACATGGACATGCCGGCACAGGCCAGGCATTTTCCTTCCCCGCCGCCCTTTAGACTCTTCAAGGTCAAGTCTCTGAAGGCACTTTCGGGAGCGTCCACGCAGTACTGGGTGCCCTGGTCGGTGGCGTGCCGGCCGGACACCATGTAGCTGCTGTCGCTGTCCAGGTTGTCGTCGGAGCTCCACCAGCCCAACATCTTGGACCGGTGCCGGGAGTCCACCTTACGGTCCTTGCTCTTGCTGCGCTTGCCGTGGCGGGACTGGTGGTGGTGGTGGTGGTGGTGATGGTGGTGGTGGTGGTGGTAGCCGTCCCCGCGGCCGTCCATCTTGGCGCCGTTGTAGTCCCGCTTGGCCGGCGCCTCCAGGGAGTGGGACTTGGCGAAGAGCTTCTGGACGGAGTGGACGAGGTGGCGGATGCGGCTGGGGCTCTCGCTGCGGGGCTCGGCGCCGCCGGCCCGGGGGTACTGCAGCGTGTGGAAGCCGTCGTGGTGCAGCGGCAGCTGCTTCTCGAACTGGTCCAGCAGCGTGGGGGGCAGGCGGTTGATCTTGCTGGCAGGGTGGGCGGTCGCCATGCATTCGTCGCAGGAGTCGTAGGGCTGCTGCTGCGCGTGATGCATCCTCGGGAAGGTGCTGCTGGCGCTGGAGGAGGGCGGCTCGCTCAGGGGCCCGCCCGGGCACTCGCTGGCCGCGCCGGGGCTCCGCGCTGGGCAGTAGGGATGCTCCAGGGAACACGGCTCGCTGGGGCTGAGCAGGTACGGCGGCCGGCCCTCGGGGCCGTGCGGGATGTAGTCAGCAGGATGCTCGCAGTCCTCTGGGATGCAGCGGCAGCGGTGGCCGGAGGAGGGCTGTGTCTGGCTACGCTCCCCATGGTAGCCCTTCATCATTTCAGCACCCACCCCATAGCTTCGGCATCTTGCAGGGATGCCCCTGCGGGCTCATCTGTGGGGATAAGGACAGACACAGTGTCAAGATCACCTCTGCACCCCCACCACCAACAGAACATTGGGGCTACCTCACAGGAACCAGCTGAGAAGGCTGAGAAGCTTCCAGGGCAAGATTCAGCCCTGTGAAGCGCCAGAATCCTGGCTTTCCACGTGGTGACAGGAACACAGTGCCCCAGCCAGGCACCTGGGGTTACCCCCAGCTCAGATGCTCGGAGGGGGCAGTGGGAAGGAGAAGGTGCTGCCAGCAGCGATGCAGGCAGCAGGGCCTGCAGACGGTGAGGGAGGACACACTGCCATCAGCAGATCCTTGTTTTCTTCTCCAACACCAAATATTATGAAGTGTTTCTCCATTAGAAAGCAGCTCTGGCTGAGTTTTTCAGCCGTTGCCTTTCACAGCGCCGCTAATGAGCTGCCGCGGGGCGCGGGGGAGCCTCACTCTGATGTCTCCATCCAGCCCCACACGGAGCTGTGGATGGAGACCCACGATCCAGGGCTCTCCTGCCCTGCAAGCCCCCTGGATGGGGAGCCAGGAGCAGAGTGGCTGTGCTGTGTGAGGGGCAGTGCCAGGCCAAAGCAGGAGGACGGACGGCGTCGAGCCAGGCTGAGCCTGTGCCAGCCGACAGAGCCGCCTGTACCCGTGGAAGTTTGTGTGCCTTACAGCCCCTCAAAGGCTCTGTCTTTGGTTTGACTGTAAATGAGGAAATTACTTATTCTCCAGAGTATCTCAGCTAATTAACAGGCATCGTTAACGCTTTTGTCATATTTGTGCAGGGTGCTGCGGGCAGAACGTCTCCCAGACTGGCTGCAGGGAAAGGTGACCGTGGGACGTTCTCTGTGGCACGTGGGGATTCGACCACGGAGACTGGAAAGGAGGGACACTGGGAGGGCCAGGGCTGTGTGGGAGAGGGTTGTGCCCCCGAGCAGCCCTGGAGGAGAGAGCAGCTAGGGGTACCCAAGGGGTGTGGGGGCAGGCAGTGATGGTGTTTTGGTTCTGAACAGCAGACAGGGCCCTGGGAACATATCTGCCCTAAGTCACCACCACCTTCCTTCCCAGCTTCGAGACTGGATGGCTCCATCCCGCACCGCTCTCCATCCTCAGATCCCGCTCCTGCTCTAACAAAGCTCCCTAATTGCTGAGCGGAAGGTGCAGCTGGTACAGAAGATGCTTCTCCCCTCCCGAGAGAGTTGTTGCGAGGAGCAGGAGCAGCAGCGTGGGTTGGAGCTGCCTCCCTACCCTGGGATCAAGCAGCAGGATGGAAGGACGGACAGACAGACAGGCTCCCAGCCCAGCTCTGCCTCCGCGGGCTGAGCTATCATCTCCTGCTCGGGGAGGGAGGCTCTCATCTGATCCAAATATTGCTGCCGCGGCGGCAAGAAAGAGTCAAAATATCTGCGGAGCCCGTCAGCACGAGCCCGCCGGGCTTTTGTGCGCTGCAGGTGCAGGAATTCAACAAAGCCGGAACCGCAGGCGAGGCAGCGCCGCAGCTCCCCCGCACCTGTGGAGCGCTGGCAGCGGGTGGGGACGTGTCGTGGTGGAGGATCCATGTCCAGGCTCAAGGCGACACAGGCGTCTACCCCTGCCCAGGGACCAGCCTGGCTCCCTAAGGGCAACGTCGGGATGGAGAAGGGGCCGGGAGGGACCCTGTGGGGCTCAGCACAGGCAGCACAGCTCAGGGTCTCCCTTCCCATGTGGCAGCAGGAATGGCCACGTGCAGAGGATGGGAGAGGCCAGGGAGCCCACTCCTCTCCCCTGTCCCAGGAGGGCAGTGTGGGCAGGCTGGCACAGGGGACTGGGGCAGCTAGCCAGAGCGTGGCTCATGGGCAGATGGCCGAGAGCTGGAGCTGTGTCCCTCCAAAGGCCAATCCACTGAGCAGCCCTTGGGATGGTGGGATTTGTGCCACCAAAGCACAGATTTAAGTCAGGGGGAAAAACTCAGCCCAGCTGAATTTTGTGCCATTTAACACCAGGGTAATTACCACCAGTGGGAACCTACCGCCCACACAATTATGTGCTAGGATAAACTGGAAGAGCATAATTACCATTACAAATAACTCACTCCTTGCCTTTATTGCATCCAGCGCCTGGAGAAACTCCCACCAGTGGCTCCCCACCACCACCTCCCTCTGATGTCTCTCCCCATTGAGAGGGTCAGCACAAGAAGGAGTGGGGCTTGTAGTCCCTGATGCTCCAGGCCATCCTGAAATTCAGCCTCTTGCCTAATTTCCCACAGGACCACTTGGCAGAGGCAGTTCCACTTCCCAGCAGCCGCCCCATGAGATCCCTGCCTTGGAGGCAGCGCCGTGCCAAGGCCCAGGGCTACAGGGATTCAGGGCAGACCCGCCAGGAGCCTGAGCTTCCTTGGGACCCCATAGCAGCCAGGATCCTCCCATCTTTACTCCAGCTCCAGGAACACCAGCGGGGAAGTGGGAGGACATCAAAACCCCACCACAGTGTCTGGGTCTGGCAAACCACCCTGACACAGGGCAGGACTGGCTTTTCCAGCACTGCCAGGTCTAACCCCAAGAGCTGGGGTTGATGGCCCTGTACTCAGGGGGTCCTGGCCCCTGCCCTTCTCCAGCAGCCCCACCACGGGCAGCCCGTGCCGGGGTCCCAGTGAAGCCTCTTGGTGGCACTCACCGCCCAGCGCTCAGGGGGATGCTGTCCTCATGGCCCCGCCAGCAGCAGCTCCTCCACGCTGGGAATCCCTGGGGCAGCAGGCTCTGGGGGAGGAACAGGAGGGGGGTGAAGCCAGAGCAAGGATGTTCCTCCCCAAAACCAGCCCGAGCCACCTCCCTGTGTATTTTTTATCAGCCCAGCCTTCCATCCTCCCCTGAGGCCACGCTACACCAGCGCAGCAACAGGGACAGCTCCTCGCAGCCACGGCCCCGTGTTTCACCCAGTTTAGCCCCAAAACCATCCCCAGTCCCATCCTGTTATGCAATTCCCTGCCAGCGGGTGCTGGATCCAGCCCAGCGGCCACCTCGCCATCGACTTTCATTTGCTCCGGATCCGGCCACTTGCTCCACAAAGCCTCCTCCTGCCACCCCGGCTTCCCAGCGTCACCAAAGGGACTTTTTTCCAGCTTCCAGCTCGGGCCGTTCTGCTCTGCAAATTAATGCGAGGTTCTGCCAGCTTCGGTCCTGCTGGGGACCTTTATGGCTTGGGATGAAAGCGGGAGAGAACAAACACCCAGCGTGAGCGCCCGGCACCGCGCGCGAGCTGGAGCCGGGGAAAAAAATAAAATAAAGTGTTTTTCCCACTTAGGGGCTGAACAAATTTGATCTACGGTCGTCGGAAGAAAATAAATATGGAATACCGCCAGGTCGTTTCCACCGTGCTTTTAATCTATTTACTCTTTCCCTGCTCATTGTAAGCGAGAAGGATTGTGGAAAGCAAACATTTTATTTTATTACTAATTGCTCTGTTATTTTATGAGGCTGAATTAGTAAAATTTACTCAGCCTGGAGGAAAGAAAAGAGGGGCTTAGTAAGAGATCACCTAATTTAGCACAGAAAGGGGAAAGGGAAAGGGGAAATATGAAGAAAGGGAAAGGGAATAGGAAAGGTAAGGGGGAAAAGGAGAGGAAAAGGAAGGAGAAAAGGGGGGGGGGAGAAAAGGAAAAGAGGAAAAGGGAAAGAGGAAAAGGGAAAGAGGAAAACAGTGTGAGCAGGATGCAAAGATCACAGAAAATACACTGGCTGCAATCAGGAAATCAAAACCAATTACTGTTAATAAAAGAAAACAGAGCAGCTGCAGGCAAGCACTGCCTGCAGAGGGCTTTGAGGGGCAGGATCCAACCGGGCACCGCTGGAAAAAAGGGATGAAGCAAGATTTTTAAAAAGTCATGAAAGATGAACACAAGCTGAGGAATTGCAAATGTGAGTGGAGCAGGAAATGTTTACCGAGGCTGCTGAGAAGGCCACAGAAGCCAGCACAGCTGTCTGGGACTCCAACAGGGCTGGGGGGCTCTGGCATCCAAAAAAATCTGGGGGACCACGGCACCCCAACATATCTGGGGGGCTCTGGGGGCATCTCCTCTGGCTCAGCCCTGCCTTGACACATCCCTTCCCGTCGAGCATGGCCAGGCACCAACCCCAAATCCACGGTGCCCCGGGGCTCCAACCCAGCACAGCCGCCCTATTCCACACGCCGGGAGGATGAGGACAGGCCGTTCGACGGGCTGGGCACGTTATTAAGCACATGATTAATTTTGGCACCAGCCCCAGCTGCCTGACAGCTCCTTCTCCAGGGCTGGAAGAGCGAGCGCGAGAGGTGCTGCCTCTGCTGATGCAGCGGTTGGTGGGATGAAAAATCCTGCAATGCAGCACTGCTTCTTAATGAGCCATTTGTCTTTGAGTCTTCTTCACTCATTACCATGCCGGGAGAGGGATGGGAGTTGCCCCACGTCCCCATCTGAGCAATTACTCCTGGAGCAGAGCGAGGAAATACGGCCACGACGCGCCCAGCTGCCAGGGATCCCGGCACGGCCGCCAGCGCTGGGACTCCCCGCCACAACACCACCGACTCTGGCTGCTGCCACCACAGGGGGGACAGGAACCCCCTCCCTGCACAGCACACACAGCCCAGGACACCCACCCTGGCCCCAGACTTGATTCTCTGGGGGCAAGAGCCGTGCTGCTGTGCTGGGTGTGCAAAGGAGCTGGAGCATCCTGGAGCTGCCAAGGCAAAGCCAGTGGAGAAGGGAGCCTGGCACTCCATCCCAAACCAGATCTTGGTGGAAGAACCACATCTTCAAAAGACCTTTAGGATGGGGAACACCCAGGCCAAGCAGCCAGATCCCAAGAAGCCGTCTGAGAAGGAAAGAGGTGGCACGGGGAATGGGCCATGGCAGCATCCCTGTGTAGGTGCAGGCAGAGGAAGGGCTGGCAGGAGTGAGAAGCCAGAAACCCCATTGCACAGGCACCTCCATTCCCCTCAG